TCTATAACAATATCCATCCGTTCTACGCAAAAGTGAAAACCGTGGAGATGTGGGCACCATAACTGACAAGGAGAGAGTTAGCTAAGTAGTCAAGTATATATTTCCATATCAATGATGTATTATAATGTAGTGAAAACAATTCTTTACCCAAAAATCACACTAACGTCTTAAACGTTGGTACTGAATGTCATTTAGAACCTTCTAAGGGATCTCTCTACAATCGTACGCATTAGGCCTTAGAGTTGTACAAATATCAGATCTTGTCAAAAAACAGCATTTCGCTGTGTAGTATTTAACAAACAAAGTGATAGTGAATTGCATTGAATTCCATCGATTTCGAGTTACTGCTTTCTTCATCTCCACCTGAAATATATAGAAACAAAGTATACTTGTCAGTAAGAAATGTTGTGTGCATCAACACAAAAACTCTTGTTAGCCTTACTAAGGGTATATATAAAGATTTTGAAAGGCTCCGATCTAGTGCACAGCACAGCGATGACATTTTCACTCTCAAAATCTATGTGGACAAGGAAGCAGAATTATTATTTTATCAGAATCTAACTGTGTAGAATGTGAAGTCTGTTTGCCATGTAATGATGTTTGCAGTGTCAGACTATATCACTCGTTAATTAATATTTGACTTTGTCAGAGTGATCTTGAATAATACCAACAGTCAAGTTTCTTATTTTGAACTGCACAGGCGTTCATCATGTGTATATTCGGTCGTTTATTTGGAAATTTTGTGCAAAAGGTATGGCATTTAGACCTATTTCCATGGTTTTTGGCAGAAGGTAAAATGATATTTCACTTGGTACCAATTTCTCATCGTGGAACATTGTCAGGCAAATTAAAGGTTTTCAAGATAATCTCCATCATGTACTGACATCATTTGGAGAACTGTAGAAAACTTGTAGAAAGCAACAGAAAACTGTTTCATCCTTCAACCTTGCAAAAAATCATCTAATGAGGTAGATTTTGTGGTTAGAAAAATAATGAGTTTTCAGTGTATCTTCTTGGCACCAAATATACTGCTGGGACTAAAATAAATAAAATATTTAAAATACTTTAACTAAGGCTAAACAATCTTCTGTGACGTCGGTGAGTGTAGGCATTCGCCCATCGACACGCCTTTTTTGCATTCTCTTTGTGTTGATCAACAACAATGCACTCAAAGCCTTTAGCTCAGTCACTGATATATAGATAAGTTTAAACGTTCTTTCCCCAAAACTAACCTCCTTACCTCTGAACAATAAGTAAAGTGCTCGTGTGACTACTTCTCACCATATAACACGGTTTTTTTTATTTATCTTTTGTTAGCAGTACTTACACATAGCTAAGGTACTGATTACTTCGGTACTGATGCACACTGATTTATATCAGGACGGTCACGTGTTAGGCAGTGATAATACAGCCAGACTTAAAATCTATCAAAACACTATGCATACATTGGTTACTTAAAAAAGTATCACCGCTCTTCTGTAGCCCGTAGGCATTTCTTAATTGACATTCCATTATTCAAGTTATTGTCTACGAATACTACCAACATACTCAAGACGAAAAACGAAGTTGACTGGAGTACAAATCTGTTCGAACATTACCGAACAGATACAGTACATATTTTAAAAGAGAACTCATAGTTATAGTGCACCATTATTTGAAATGTTAAATCCTACGTGTCCTGGATAGTTTATGCCAATAGAAAACTGCATGACATCACAAAGTAAACGAAATTAAAGTCTCTCAATGAAATTTTTGAATTGATGATATCCAAATGTAGATAAAAATGTATATTCCCCAATGTAGTGTATGTATATATCAAAAGTCAGCTAGTGCTATGATCACAAATCTCTACACCCTCAACACCATCATTCCATCAGCATAGATTACTTATTTCGATCAGAACTGAAGCTAATCATGTGCTCTTTTACTCCAACTCATATTCGAATTCTCTCTTGCTTATAGTCAGTAATAGCAATCCACTAGGTTTCGCATAAATTATGATCATTGGAACCAAGTATTTCTGACTTTTGGTATCGAATGAATTGACACTTATCTGTCCTCCTGTCATTCAGATGATATGAACTAATTTGGCTTTATAAGCTCAATTTAACTAGGCACACCGCTGATGGGTTCGGCCTCAAACGTGTAAAACGACCGTCCAGAGTTAAGATTATTTCGATTCAGCTGGCAAAATACTACAGATAGGTAGTAGTCACCTTCTTATTTTCAGTGTCAATTAATCAATCCAACCTGTGATTCTTAGTGGTGGACTATTTTGGCTCATGATAGAAGAACAAGTTTATCACTGCATAGAAATTTTGATTAACTTTTGTGGAGTGTTAGACAGCTATAGTAATTTACTGGGTATGATAGTAAGCAAAATATCAGACTTAATGAAAAAATGTAGTTCAGATTCCTAAATAATCAAAACTGTTCTGAATTTTAAAGATTGATCATAATATAACCATATTTACATAAGGACTACTAGATTTGGATATGGTGTCGCGTAAGATAACAAGAGGATAGATGTGGTCAGAAGCTCATAGATAGATAGATGATGAGGAATTATATAAGTAGTATTCCTTTGGTATAGAAGGAACGTAATCTCACGAATTTGAGAATCTGTGTGGATGTGAAACACGATCAAAATTCTGTTAATGAGAACATGTTGTCAGTTTTCCATTCTCATCATAATTTCCCGTAGTATTAATGTGAACACTTTTAGAAATGATAGGAGACTTAAATCAGTGGTAAAATCATATCATATCGATCTCTAAGGTTTTATCTATTATCCGCTTATTCATTTTTCTGCCAATAATTCGTTCCATCTGCTATTTGTTATGAACTTTTGTTTACATTAACTATTATTCTACAGGTTCATTCAACATTTTACATGAACACCTGAATCGGTAATTAACATATTGTTTTTCTTTATTAGTTGTAAAACATGTATAAAAATAGGAACATAATTAAGTTTTGACATATCTAATGTATAATCAATAGGAGATTGAATGCCGTGTAGTCTGTTCACTTTAGTTTGTAGCCCTAGAAGTAAATCAGGTGAGAATAAAACGTTTATGTCAGTAGATGATAGCGAAATTAATTGGAAATCATCCCAACTCAATTTCATGTTGTTTTGTGATTAAAAAGAAAGCATACCCGAGGAATCCAGATAGTAGAGACTTCCTTAGATTTCTGGCTACCAAAAACTAAATCAATTTGGTTTATCTATAGTAGTCATTTGCTAAAGCTGGGATGATACAAAAAAGATAAGTGTAGTAGAAGCTGAACCACCTACCATGCTGTAAAATATTGTCATAGATGGCAATCGCTACTGTGAGTAATACAGATGGGGTCAAATGCGACACCACAGTATTATAGAACATTATCAAGTACGTAACAAATCTCAAGCGAAGAATTATAGTTTAGGTGTTTCTTTTATAGCTGTTAACAAAGAACCGATGTTGACTTTCTAATTTTGCCTCGTGATTGAATAACTGATAAGGCCCAATGAATTTATCACAACTTCCTAAATAAATTAAGAGGTACTAATGTTGAAACACTTTTGTATAGTCATTTCGGGTGATAGCTATCAAGGGTACAATTAAGAAAGAATCAACCATACTGTCATCAGATTATGAAAGTAATTGGACTTTCATGTGAGTAGTCAAATTAGTCAGTTTGAAACCGAAGATGATGTACGAGTAGTTAGTAGCCTGCATCTCATTTTCAGCAAAATCAAGGGAAGTTAACTACTGTTCTTCTATACTGATGTCAATCGTTTAGTGTATCGGTTTCATGAAAAGAGTTAAGAATCCTCTCATATCACCGAAACCTACGTAATGTAGACTTATAAGTTTTAAAAACTAGTGAAAATGAAGTAATTTTCAAGAACTGTTGTGTTAACATCTGGATATGCTATGCTTATACTGAATTCTATAAGGTGAATAAATGTACATACAGAAAGCCAATATCAATCATTTTCTTCCTGATGGTATAACGGTCTCTGAGCTAGATGATTTAATCATAATGGTTTCATTTTCGTCCAGGTATTTCTAAAGAATGCAGAGTCAACTTGCATAGAATATGATTTCTTAAAGATATTGAGACCGTTAACCACACAGGAAGTCAGAAATAAATTAAGTTTGTTAAGAAGAACACATTTTCTCACTCATGGATTTGTGTATGAAAACTATTTTTTGCAGTAAATAGCTTTAGTTTCAGATCCTAATTCAATTTGTTCGAATATATATTTTGAGGTGGTATTCATCTAGGACTGACATCAGTTGGAGCACCAGACAACCGTTTCATCCTCGTATGGGACCCCTCAGCAATGCACACCCACGACCAGGCTGGGATTGAACTCAAGACTCACAGGTCTCACGGTGAACGCCATAACCATTTAGCCACTTGGCGGGAGGTGGATGGTTCACAGCCTCTTTTTTCTGTCAATCTGCAATGTAGTGCTACTATCACCCAAGGTCTTCATTTGGCATCCACTTCCCTTCTGATTGGTTGACCCAACAGGTTATGGTCTATCATTAGAATTTCGGGACTGCTGAGGTGTCAAACACTAGGATGAATCAAACTTCCAGTGCCCCCAAATTTCCAGTGGTTCTTCAACTAATGTCATTTTTGTGATGAATACTATCTCAGAATATATACTTAACAGATTTCAGCATTTCACTTAGTTAAGATGGAAAACAGAAGTATCTTTAACTTGACAAAGTGGCTGCAGCAAGATAATTTCATCTCACGAAAGTACAAAATGTTAATTCCTATTAACACTTCTTTTGTGTGTTTGCAATACAGGCTATAGTGCAAGCAGCTACCATAATTGTTAATCAAAAAATTATTTTTTTAAGAGAAAATTTCAGCCAGAGAAGAAGTCTTATCAAATCATCAAGAAGCGTTAGAATCTACTGTTAGTTTCATTTACAATGTTTAGAATGTACGACAAGAAGATAAGTGAACACCATTTATTTCCTTTAAATCTTCAGGTATGATAGTTGGTGCAATGTGCGCTATTACGGGAGTCATGACAATCTCTCTACCTGTCCCTGTTATCGTATCCAACTTTTCACGTTTCTACACTCATACGCAAGCTCAGTCAAAACTTCCAAAGAGAAGAAGACGTATTTTACCTGTTGAATCAGTGCGCCCAAAACCTTATGGTCAAAGTGTACAACTGAATTCTTCTTCCTTGAAGTTGAAAAACAGCTATGGTGTAGTTCCGCCGGTATCAGCACGTGCTTTTACTTCTATAATTGATTCACCCATGCGACTGACTGCTAATAGTGAGCGGAAAACCTTCTTTCCAGATGCAAATTCCAGTGTAACAGGTAAGCTAGTCAGGTATTTTTGTGTTTTTTTTTTGAAGAAATAGTATTATTTCCAGCCCGAAAGAAGCAGGGCTCGATAAAAACAGATACAAACTACCGAAAGGGATGGAGATTTGAAACAGCTGGAAGTCCAAACTCACCGTCGCAGTTATGTTCAGAATATAAAGCAAACCAAATGTAATATTTCAGTTTTTACCACTCGTAGCATAGTTCTTTTTTAGGGGCGGAAGAAACCTGTCAGTGTATACTGATATGTGGTAAATAGCTCAAAACTTCACTGTCTTAGGAATGAAAGCTTAACGCCATTCAACTGACCGAAGAAAAGTCTCCACCTCATTACCGACAATTATGATGCAGTGATATGTATTCACCTCACTTAACGGTATGTGGTCACGTCACTACATATGGATGCGACGTTGCAAGAGCATCAGAGAGGAGAACAACTTCAGAATTTTCCATATGTATCATATTATTATTTGTCCCTTGGGTTTCTAGTAGAAAATAGGGCTTCAGTAGAACATCTCCATTACACTCTCTTCTCTACAGTCTCTTCAATCTGACTCCACCAACACCCACAAGCTTCCATCTATTCCTCACATGATATCCTTCATTTCACCCTCGGATCACACACCCAACTCGTCCTTGACTATTTGGATTCCACTCAGCGGCCTCGTCTGGCGCGTGATGTCACCAAACCATCTTCTCAGTCTATGCCCAATCCAATCCATCCCCACTTTCTTCTTCTGCATATTTGTTGAACGATGGGTTCTTGGTTGGTTCCTTACCAGCCAGTCACACTGAGTTCCTTGTTGCTTATTCTTATTATTCTGGCAACCCATCTGATCTTCAGTGTCAGTATCGAGTGAGTGTAGACGTAGACGTAGACGTAGGCTTAGGTGTACGTGTAGGTGTAGGTGTAGTCAGTTGTTGATGAATGTCTGTAGTTTGTTGTAAATGCATTTCTTGACGCACCATCAAGTCTGTGAACCAACACATGGGAGCACTGACTTACTGATATTACTCTTGAAAATCGGCATCTTGTTGATGCTTCATGGTGAGTGCAACAGATCTCCACACTGATTTCAGATTAATGAAAGCCTGTCTTGCTGTCTTTCTAATCCTGTCTTTGACGCCTTCATCTGTGCCACCGCCGCTGCCTGTGGTGGTTGGTTGGTTATCTTCATCACCTCTTTGTTCTCTGGGTTCACTTGATGTCCCGTCTTCGCTGCCTAGCCTGTTGTATCAACGCGTTGGTTTTCCATTAACAAGATCATGGCGTCTATCAGGAAAGAAATATTTCTTTTCACGACTTCATTACCAACCTGTACAGTGGTATTTATATTCGGTAAAGTGACAGATAATTGCACTAAAAAGTTGCCCAGATAACATGTAAAATATACAATCGATGTAGATGGTGGTATTTGTCTAAGTGGAAGAGATAGAAAATGGGTCACTGAAAAATTAATGGATTGATAACAAGTGGTGAGATAAGAGACATGTATTGTCAAGTAATTTTAAAATGGTGATAATTAAGCTGAAAGGTGTAAAATAGGTCAATGAATAAGGAATGAATTGATATTAAAAAGTGAAATATGGGTCAAATGTTGTCAATGTAGTGAAAATTGTTGATAATGATAATGATAAGAGAGAAGTATACCAAAGTCAACTGAAATTGACAAAATCAATAAAATGAATTGTTAAGGCCAAGACAGAGAAAGTGGTTTCACAAAGTTTTTGAATACAAAGTTTTGGTTTTTGTTCATGTATAGCTAATGCTTCAGTTATGCATAAGTGGTGGAAACGTAAACCTTTGGAGTAGTTCAATTTAACTTTGTAAATTGTTTTAAAGGATGAATCTCGAGATGCTGAGTGACCTAATTCAACAATGTGTTCACATATGGATGAAGTTTTCTTTTGCTCGCCTCTGGTAAGCCAAACCGGGTAGTGTTCAGCAACAAGTTTTCGGAGGGCCTGCTTACAACGTCCAATATAGTCAGCTCCACAGGGGCATGTGGACTTGTAGGTACACATAGATGTGGACATAAGTGGAAGCCTATTCTTCACGCATTGCCGAATTAGACGGCTGCTGGAGAATATCAGTGTCAGTCTAGCAGCATAGAAGCTTTTATTGAATCACCTTGACGGGCGATTTTTGAGCACTTCGGTTGTGGCGTCTCCTTTCAATACTGAATTAATAGTTAAGATTTTCTTAGGGACTGTAATGGGACGAGGAGTGATTCGTTTCTCCAGATTCTTATCAATAAATCGCTTAGGGTATCCGTTATTAGATAGTATCCTTCTAAGAGTTTCGATTTCAGCACCCACCGTATCTTCTGAACATATTCCATAGATTCTGGAACACAATGAGTGAGTGAGATTTCTCTCACAACCAAGAGGTAACCAACTATTAAAAAAATAGTGAACTGACCGGTTCAAGTTGGTTTTTGATAGACTGACCTTGAATTGAGCCATCAGGCCCTCTATTGAAAGCGTTTACATTGATTCTAATAATATTAGCATTGGACTACCTACGACCCACCTAAAAGAACACAAATCATCGTCGGTGAGATCCAAATCTTATTCTCAGGTGTTTTCATCAGTCCAGTCAGCGTATGTCCGTCTTCTTGATCCTCAAGGTTTGCTGCATGATCCAATCCTGTTGACCACAATCACGAAGATCATGGGTGATCGTGGGTGGCAGCCTTGTCTCAGTCCTGTCTTCACTTCAAAGGCGTCACTGAGCTTTCCGTTGTGCATCACTTGGCTTGTGGCATCATATGGCATATAGCTGGTGCAGAATGTGTTTCATAAGTGTTTGTGGCACTAAAACCGTAGTGCTGAAGCAGTTCTCTGCCAAATTACTTCTCAGTCGACGTCGTCGAAGGTTTTTTCAAAGTCGATGAAGTTGAGGTGCAGTTGAGTTGACTGCCATTCTATACTCTGTTCTATGATGATGAGTAGTGTAGCGTTGCAAATTGATCCCCACATGACTTGTTCTTTCTGAAGCCAGCCAGTCAGTCAGCCAAACATCCAGCCAGCCAGCCTGTTTAGGTCGTCATTTTGAATCCAGAGTATTGTTTAGTCTCCCCAGGATGATGCGCCTTAGTATTTTGCGTGAGGTGGACGGGAGCATGATTCCTCACCAGTTCCTGCAAAGACTTAGGTTTCCCTTATTTAGGAGTTTGACAAGGTGGCTATTCTCCCAGTCGGCAGAAGCCTTTCCTCTCTTCCTTCTCTCCAAACATTCTGCAATATTAGTGTAGACATATCCACTGTTGCCTCTGCGTCTGTTTTCAATGCTTCTGGAAGAATTCCGTCTGGTCCTACTGCTTTTTCGCCTTTCAGTAACTTTATGGCTTTCAGAACTTTACTTCAGCTTTTGACGAAGGGCCTGTGTCAACTGATAGTTCTGTGACTGGGTAGGTGGTGGTGTTTCTGGACGAGTTGCAGGTGGTGGTGGTGGTTGGTTCAAGAGTTTTGAAGTAGTCAGCTCATCATTTTCATTGTTTATCCTCCCCTTTGATAACTAGGTTTCCTTCATAATCATATGTCATTGCGTTTCGTCTGCGTTGATCTCTTCCTTCCCAGATAGTAACCTGGTAATTTGATACAGTGTTGTCAGCTTCCTGTCTCTCCTACTATCAGCCTGCAGCCTGTTCTACTCCACTTGCAAGTGTGTCACAGAAGTATCTTTTATCTTTGCACGCACTCCTCTTCACTTCTTTGTCCAATGTAGTGTTTCATAGGTTGTACTCAGTTCCTCGTCTCCTTGTTCATCCTTACAGTACACTGGTATATATTCTGCTTCATCATCAACATCTTCCTCTCCCTCCTCTATCAGCTTCCATGTGTCCGTCGAAACCCATTCCCTCTCCTGTTTTTACTTTCTTTCTTATATGGTTATGCAAGTTTCCTTCACGTCACCTTCACAAACTTCCAGTGTTCTTCCACACAGGTTCCTTCACCGATGTTGCTCAATGTCTCCATTTCGTCGTGATGACTGCCGGATGTGAAGATGTTTCTCATAGTTGCGTCCTTCAGATCAGTTTCTGTTCTGGGTGTTCAACTCGAACTTCAACTGTGGTCTATAATCACCAAGTTCTCTGGAGACTTTCAACTTGATTTTGAAGGTGGGTTCCTCACACTAGATAGTGGTGTGAGTGGTGTGAATCTACCTGCATGTGCTCCTCTTCTTGATCTCATCTTGTATCCACTAGGCTGGCTGTGTCTCCCTCCATCTCCTCTTTCTTCACACTGAGATGAAGTCGATCTGATTTTTAATGTTGTGTGTCCTGGTGTCTGGTGAAATCAAATCCATGTCGCTCACCTCTTGAATATCCTTGTGTTTGTACACACTGACTCCCCTCCAATCACCAACTCACTGAATACACAGAAATCTGCAAACAGGTCTCTATTCTCATTCGTTTAATCGAGCGCTTCTCGTCCCATGGTTGGTACTCTTCCTGTGTTGTCTGCTCCTATTTAGGCATTCATGTCACCACTCATTAGAATGAATTTCGATGTCGCCAACTGGAGTGGGGCTATGTCCATCACCGATTGCAGTTGTCTGTGGAATTACTCCTTCTTCTCTTCCCTTCATCTGAACTATTTGTAGGTGCACAGTGTAGCATTGAATGATTGTGACTTTCCTCCCTTTTGGGTTGAATATTGCTGTCATGATTCTGGTGCTGGAGGAAATTGGTTCCCACTGCATGAGAGAGCCTTTGATGCTGTTAAGGATATCATGATAGTCACTCAAAAACACAGTGTGCTTGTGGTTGTCGTGTCGTCCAGGTGATAACATCGGAGTAGATTAGTAAGTCTCCAGTTAAGAGTTTGGAGAGTCCACTTCCATTCCACCTGCTTTCGCAGATTCCTAGCCTTGCACTTCTATGCCATAACTTCTCATCTCTTTGGCAATCTGGGCATCTTTGTCAACCAGTTTTAAACGTTGTTCTGACATTCCATATCCTCATTCTCACGTTTGTTTTCATCAAGAGAGAGAAGAGACTTTAGCCAATTGGCTTCTTGAAGCCTTTCACTAACTGGCATCATTTCGCCTCTCCGGTTCCAGTGAGGAATAATTTTGTTTTCATTTTTATATCTTTGTGGTTTGAAGTTTTTTTAGCGATTGGATTGGTTTTACAATGTAGGGTTGCTATCCGTATGCGTAAGCTTCCCTCTTTATCCGGACTTATGAACGGCTAGTAAGTAGTGAACTAGTTACCTAGGCGAGAATCTAGCATAATTAAACACAATTAAAAATTTTCAATATCCTGTTGTAGAATAATCTCATCTTCGGTTGGTATCGTTTGCGACAAAATTGAGAGTGGTCACAGTTTCTCCTGGCAACGGTCCTACGACAACATTTGATATTGATTGTCAAATGTAGTTATGAAAGGCATTTTGGGATGCATCTCAACAGATACAGATGATGACAGAATCTTCAAAAGCATCTCATTCACAGGTGTGTTCAAACCAGATGAATGTTTGTGAAAAATCTGGTACTCATTGAACTTAAACTACTTAAAATAGCAGGATGATTAGTAGTGACTGCCGCAGATGTTGGTTTTTAGTACTGATTATTGAATGCAGCCTAACTAGAAGTAGGATGAAAATACATTCAACTGATACAGAAAAACAAAGGGATATAATGAAAACTAAGTAACAGAGATTTTGTCAACTTAGAAAGAAAAGGAGATTTATACAAGTTATCCAGTTTGCTGAGATCTTATTATGCACATAGCTAATCAAGTTTCATAGCTTTCTTTATGCAGTTTTATTTTTGTTAAGAGACTGTACTTATTAACTTTCAAAAATGCGTAATAAATGGCTTTCCAGCTCCATCTGCTTGGCGCAAAATGGATCACACACTTATGGTTTTTGTTAACTTAGAGCTGCATCTTTATCTTCATAGACAACTAACGACATGTCTCTTTGACCTGTCGTCTCTTAGTAAACTTCATCTTAGCCTAACAAAAAAGTAATGAAAGCTTTCGAACTTGCTTTCGACTGAACTCATACTAAATGTAGTCATTAATTATTTTTCAGGTTTTGCAACAAGTTTAAATTTACATTCCAAGTTATTCATTTGTCTTTGACTACTGCACCGCTCTGACGACTGTTTTCATCACTCGTAAAAAGTTACTTTGTTGACAAAAACATATTAACAAACGATAATACAATTTATCATTTCGAGTTACATAAATTATCTTCTCCACACATCGAATAGATGGTCAAAGTACTTTCTTTATAGCGATGTTAAATTTAATTTGAAGACTGAGGGTACCTTAAAGCTAAAAGTTGTAAACTTTATCTGTAGAAAGTTGGGATAGTACACTGTAATTTCTAATCTTGCCGCTAAAATCACAAGTCTGTAAAAGCTGCAACTAAAAAGTTTTGGCTGGAAGGAATTGCCTGCTATTCTTGTATAAGAACATGGTTCAACTGAGCACAGTATAAACTGTTACATGCTTGCAAAAGTATCTGTCATTCTTTTAGAGGGGTAATGTACACCTGCTGGTCATTAAATTCCTCTAGTTTATGTCTTTTTCCAACGCTTTTTTTTCCTGTTTCTAGAAAATCCGACTAATGATCAAACAGTTGTCAGACCGCTAATACCTAGGCGAGAAGAAATCACTTTGCTACCAGGAGAAAGTTTACTTCAGTGTACACCAGCAGCAGGACGACTTAAACCAACAACAGTAAAAGAAAAGACGAACACATCCGAGTCACAGACAACATCAGAAACAAACCCACTTCTTTCAAGTCATGATACAAAACCTGATCATAAGAATCAATCTTGTCATCAATTTTGTAATAACATAATCGGCAACAAGGATACTTATAACTGCATCAGCAATAATACTAGCATGAACCACAAAGGAATAAGTTCGTTGACTTCCGTCAACTGTTCAAACAACGATAGTGATCATTATCATGGAGATGGAGATGAAAAGTGCAGTTTCCCTAATACTACAAATAAGAACATTAATAACGTCTCGAAACTGAACACCTCCTATCCTACATGTTATACAACAACAGCAACTACTACTAGTACCACTATTAATAGTGAGGGCTGCAATGACGAATTTTCAGTTTTAATCAATACAAAAACTTCACACCATCTTCCAAATTACCTACAACAAACAGATTTCAAAAAGTTGTGCTCTCCGTTTGACGAACGCAATGCTGATGAGAATTTTTTGCCATCAGACAATAGTTTAACTCATCTAGAAGAACTATTAACCTTACGTAATAATTATGAAATAACCCCCCCTCGTCTATCCTCAATATCTGGGGACAAATATGAAGTGAAATTTTCGAGTCGATCACATTCACCAACATAATTCAAAATAACATATCATGAGTAGATTTGTGTGTTTATTTTATATTTGGGTTATGTATGCTACTTATAAGTAGCTAGTAAACAAATACAAATATATTTTTCGTCCGATTTGTTCCTTGGGAAAGTGCTGAAGGACATAAGGTAATACAATGATACATTTTAATAGTTAATTGTTTTTTAGACAGCGAAAACGGATCCACCCTTTCTGCTGATTAACTTCCTCTCTTCTTTTTCTATTTCTTTCGTCTACTTCATGGAAATAAACATTAATCAGACAATCTCATTTGTTTATCTAGTGGCATGTAAAAAGGCTACTGAAAGGGAACCAAGTGTGAATTTTCAAATATTTATATGTTAAGTGATTAATAGTGAACAAATATGATTGTTGAACATTGATGAATAATATTCATATGTACACTTGTATGCTTCATTCTAAGAAGAAACCGATGTTCGTTATTGCTAAAGTGATTGTTTTGATGAAGATATTAAAGATAGTTGTAAATTTATTGATAAAAAAAATTTAATTAAGATGAAATTCATTGAATTAATGTAACCGATTTGAACAGTGCAAGAACAAAGACATTTGTAGAGTAAAAAGGGACACATTTTATTTCATGGCATTTAATCAGCTCCAAACAGTCTACAATCGTAATGAAGTGTTATTAGTAATAATGGCATGATGAACTTTAAATATGCAGAAATGAATGAGATTTTTTTGAAGTACAGGAATGACAATAAAGTAGTCGGTCAAGAGAACAAAATAAAAAGCGACAAATTTTAGTTAAATCAATAACAATCATGAGAGAAAATTCTGGAGCCATGGAGTGGGAAGAAAACAAAATAACAGTATTAAAAAAGAAATAGTCTAAGAGTTAATAGGCAGCGTAATTCTTTGGAAAACTAGAAAATCATGAAGTAATTAATACTCGGTAAATAATTAGTGCAAAGCTGAAGCGATCGAAAGAAATAAATTATTATTTATCATTTGTCCCTTGGGTTTTTAGTAGAAAATAGGGCTTCAGTAGAACATCTCCATTACACTCTCTTCTCTACAGTCTCTTCAATCTGACTCCACCAACACCCACAAGCTTCCATCTATTCCTCACATGATATCCTTCATTTCACCCTCGGATCACACACCCAACTCGTCCTTGACTATTTGGATTCCACTCAGCGGCCTCGTCTGGCGCGTGATGTCACCAAACCATCTTCTCAGTCTATGCCCAATCCAATCCATCCCCACTTTCTTCTTCTGCATATTTGTTGAACGATGGGTTCTTGGTTGGTTCCTTACCAGTCAGTCACACTGAGTTCCTTGTTGCTTATTCTTATTATTCTGGCAACCCATCTGATCTTCAGTGTCAGTATCGAGTGAGTGTAGACGTAGACGTAGGCTTAGGTGTACGTGTAGGTGTAGGTGTAGTCAGTTGTTGATGAATGTCTGTAGTTTGTTGTAAATGCATTTCGTGACGCGCCACCAAGTCTCTGAACCAGCACATGGGAGCACTGACTTACTGATATTACTCTTGAAAATCGGCATCTTGTTGATGCTTCATGGTGAGTGCAACAGATCTCCACACTGATTTCAGATTAATGAAAGCCTGTCTTGCTGTCTTTCTAATCCTGTCTTTGACGCCTTCATCTGTGCCACCGCCGCTGCCTGTAGTTGAAACGATGCTGCTTTGCCTAGGTGGGTGGAAGAGACAATTTCAGTTAGGTTTCTGGCGTTCATGGTGATTGGTGCTCGTTGTTGTTGGTGGTGGTGGTGGTGGTTGGTTTGGTTCAGCCAGCGTATGCCATGAGGAAATCATGACATCAAATAAATGTTTCTCAATCTTTCAGGATAATCAACAAGCAAAGAACACCATATATATTACGGTTTCAAGAAGCTGTCGCTGTCAAAAATTTTCAAATCTAAGTGCATATTCTGGACGAGACTTTAATTAGCCTTTCTTTACCTAGAGAATAGTATATAGTTTTTACATGTGTATGTGTATAGTCTTCTTTTTTCTTTCCAAGTGAAGACAGTAGTGAGAGAAGGTTAGGTAACCCACTGTCATCCATGAACTTCCTAATTGTGATTGACTGGACTAGATCATTCAGTGAAACCGTGACGAGTGAGAAGATCGGCATACGCTGACTGGACCAATGAAAAGATTCCAGAAGAAGATTTGGATTTGGTCACCGATGATGATTTGTGTCTAGTGTCTTGTCGCACAAACTCGAAGATCTACAGGCAAAAAGGAACAAGTTGACAGACGAGGCATGGCAGCGAAGACGGGACTTCAAGTGAACCCAGAGAACACAGAGGTGATGAAGATACCCAAACAACCAACCAACCAACCACCACCACCAACAACAACAACGAGCACCAATCACCATGAACGCCAGAAACCTAACTGAAATTGTCTCTTCCACCCACCTAGGCAAAGCAGCATCGTTTCAACTACAGGCAGCGGCGGTGGCACAGATGAAGGCGTCAAAGACAGGATTAGAAAGACAGCAAGACAGGCTTTCATTAATCTGAAATCAGTGTGGAGATCTGTTGCACTCACCATGAAGCATCAACAAGATGCCGATTTTCAAGAGTAATATCAGTAAGTCAGTGCTCCCATGTGCTGGTTCAGAGACTTGGTGGCGCGTCACGAAATGCATTTACAACAAACTACAGACATTCATCAACAACTGACTACACCTACACCTACACGTACACCTAAGCCTACGTCTACGTCTACACTCACTCGATACTGACACTGAAGATCAGATGGGTTGCCAGAATAATAAGAATAAGCAACAAGGAACTCAGTGTGACTGACTGGTAAGGAACCAACCAAGAATCTATCGCTCAACAAATATGCAGTAGAAGAAAGTGGGGATGGATTGGATTGGGCATAGACTGAGAAGATGGTTTGGTGACATCACGCGCCAGACGAGGCCGCTGAGTGGAATCCAAATAGTCAAGGACGAGTTGGGTGTGTGATCCGAGGGCGATATGAAGGAGATCAGAGATGGAAGCCTGTGAGATCAAATACAAGCCAGGAGAATCAGAAAACGTGACTGGACACTGAATGCTTGAGAAATGGAAACTACGAATCATCCTCAATCACTGGCTTAGAGTGAATCACTATGTAGCTTTTTCTGGAATAACATTGTGATCTTGTTCACTTTTCAAAATATAAATGCAAGATGTTTCTTCCTATGCAGTGGCAAGATATACAGATTTGATGAGTATCTTAAACAGTTGCACGTCTTGTTATGATTCTCACAATGTAAATTAAGTACTAGGAAATCGCATTTTTGTAATCATAACAAGGCCTGCAACTGTCTAAGATGCTCATCAGCTGCGTGCAATGTTAATGCTTCTGCTATCAAATATGGAGATTTTTTTGCAGTCACAGCAGTTTCTAAGGAAAATTAACTGATAAGGATTTTCTTGGTATAAAGCTAAAAGAGTTATGGGGACTAGAATGGAACGATTTGAGAGGATCACTGAAAGACTGCTAGCCTGTTGCCATCTGAAACTGATGCAGTTGATAACACAGACACTGCGAAGGGAATTGTTACTGTCTGAGATATTGTGATGCATAGAAATCAGAAGTGGGCTAGTTGATTGATACATGAGGAAATGGGAGCTAGTCGATCATGTTATGCTCATACAGCATTTTATCATGATGGTAGAAGTCTGAGAGTTTCTCTTTTTCATAATGTATGAACCAGAAAGCTTACTTATTAACTTGTATCAGCCTTCTGATAAATTTTTATGGTAGTGAGATTTGCTTTCAGCTAGTTTTCTCAATGAAATTTTGATGCTCATTTGAAATTGTACATACTAAATCAGTTTTGTCGAATATTTGATGGATGTTGCTGAAATAAAAGTAGTAGTTATTCTATAAATTGACATGAATGGTGAGTTGTATGAAGTGAAGTTTACATCATATTTTGTGTTTGTCAGAAATGTGACTCAGAATAAAACCACTGAGTTTGAATGATCCTTTCTTTTCATGTAGTCACATCAATATAGCTAAATCTGTGGATTTCAGTTTTTCTCAAGCGACCTAATACCTGACCTAATTAAGGAATTTATAGGAATCAGGATATTTATGAATGCATGAAGTTTTGTAAAATTCTTCTATTGAATACTGTGGATACGTGGTTATATACTCCATGATGTATTGCAAGGAGACATATATGCGTTTCATTCAAAAACAATAATTGGGCTTATGAACATGAAAGTTTATTTGCATTGTTAAAAACACTTACTAAAGGTTAGGAATGGATGAGAAAATTGATTGGATAACTATGTGGATTATGAATGAATAGTTGACAAGCGATTATCAAATGAATATTCATTAAACGGAATGACTCAGTAAAGAAAGAATATAGCAATAAGACACAAGCAAAATAAGTCGCCAGTAATAACGAATAACAAACGTAAACTAATTTACGAATTTGCAGCACATTAAAAATGTTACGAAGACAAATTGAGAGTCACTAACATGCGTTTCTGATCACAAAAGGTTGGTTTATCAATGCAAGATGCACAAACTTATGCGATTTGAAGCAGTTTTTCATTCTGAATGCTGCCAACCACACACGACTGACTTGACAGAGCTTATATCGCACCTGACGTCTATTTATTGTCCGGTTTTAGAGCTTCCTGAAATTTTCATCTAAGAAGGACTTAAGCATCTATAAAAGTTCTTTCCGTACAGAAAGGTGGCTGTTTACTAGCGTATTCCAGCACTAGTCTAAATCAGTCCTTAATATAAAAGTCGTTTTACATCCTTATCTGATTTTAGAATGTTCTTTTCTGACTGTAAAAAAGTTAAAAAATGGAATCATTCTGAGGTAGTTGTTTTCTGAAGGTCAGCCTTCAACTCAAACAACTGAAATATTTACAGAAATGCATAATTAGCTGTTATTCGTGGGTTCTCATGGGCTGCATGGAACATTCTTCTGAACGATGTTCAGTTTAAAATACTCAACTTGTGGAACAGGTCTACTATGATGCTTTTAAGCAAAAATGAATATCCTGAAACGTACGCACATCAAAGAAAACATCCTCCACATAAATCCCCAAAGTAGAATAGTGACAGTGAGGAAGCGAACTTTGTTTCTGGGTCTAAAATCCAAGGGGGACACTCTAAGTGATGTCATATCACAATATCTAACCAGTGCAGTCTGTAGGGTGCTCCACTCAGGGTTTCTGTGAATATCCTTCAGTAGTTGCCCAACGCTTGATCTGGAACTACAGGCTATCTCACCTCATCTTAGCTCCTTATGTTTCATCCATCAGTTTGCTGTAGAACATATTACACAGGGTGTAAGATTATGCAGACATATGTATGGATAAGAAGGCATTTGCCAACTTGATTCAGAAGAAGTGAAAACACAGTGACAACCGGTTTTATCCTAACACGCCTGGTAGACAAAGAGCATCGGATAAATGCTAGTAAAGCATTAGGTGTCATATACCTCATCTTGTACAGATCGCGGATGTCGCAATAACGTCTACCAAACAGGAACTTAGGAATCAAAAGAAGCGGTTCACAGAGTTACTCTTTCTTTTTCGCACCATAAGCGAAGAGCCACACCACTCATCTTTTTTCTCTTTTTCCATATAACTTCATCCTCTATGTTTTTCTCTGGTTTTCGTTTTCCGGTTTTTTCCCTCACTCTGATGGTCTCTTTTTCTATGTCTCTGAAGTTAAATTTCTGCACAGACTAACATTAATGGCCATCTCTTGATCACTGTTATAAAATACCACATTAATAACACCAGCATGATGTAGTTTCAACCATTTTAAGTGTTAACTGTTCTATTATCAGCTATACACACCAAATCTTTTGTTTCATTCATTAGATTTCTAAATGTCTTAGAATTTTGCATATTCGGGGATTACCCACTAGATTGTAATTGATTTCACCTTGTCTAGTTCCAAGTGCTGACTGAATTCCAATCATCATTTTGCAATGAGCTCACCAAGAGTCCAACTATCAACCGGTAGTAAGGTCTCTGGCTGCAGCACTTGGTGAAGTGTATCAAACCTCTAAGGGGACACAAGTTAATTTGAGATTACAAGTAAGCTTTTCTGACGAGTGAAAACAAACACACAGCCTGGATGAAGCAGGTTTTCTTATCGGCTGCCTCCAACCAAATGACACTAACTCTTGATTTTTTTAGAGTAACTTAGATCGACAAAACAATAAAAATGAGAAATTCATCGCAAACTAATTTATAATATTTGTACGTCTAGCGGGTAAGTTTATGAATATTCTAAATAATGGACAAATTAAGATGAGAATCATCAGGACTTCCTCCCTATTTCTGTAACCTCATGAATAGTCAAGGTCAACATATTATTAATTGTGACAGTAACAATAATATTGAGAGTGAGGCATACAAGGTGTCACTACTGTTTTAGACGCTATGTTCTTGTTTGTAAGTCTAAAATAATGTATCAGATGCCAGCCGATCTGTAGTGTGTTGCACGGCTGAAGAATAATGACAGCATCCAAATATTAACCAATCTCAGTGCTTGTTTGAATTCCCATTCAATGAGTACTTCGACAAAGTGTACAAGGTGTCGGCGGAAATCGAACCTCATTCATTAAAAGCCATAATCACAGAAACTGCCTGTGCCACATTTGAAATGGTAGTGGTTGACCCAATTAACTTGAAGTGAGTACTGATTTGCCAGGTATTTTTTACCTAAAGCTAAATGACGTGACACGGGTCACCTTCAAATGACCAACTAGTCTACAATTACTAGAGTTACTTTGTGAAAATTCTGAACATTTTCCGCACTGAATATTCCATTTGTATCATCTACTCCTCCTATATGGGAGACATTTTTCCTTTACATTTGCATCTATAAGTGTGACGAACGAAACTAGCTGTTCCAAAGTTAACGACCAGCAAACCCTTACAGGTTTTGAAAAGCACCTGGATCAACATTCGTTCCTGGTTGGCAACCTCAGATTCCACAACAGAAAATGACTTAAGATGGCCCAGATAAATTCAATCGACTAAAAACATGTTGAATTTGAAAAATACGACAGCCACCTCTTGTACAATGAATATCAGCTGTTATTTTGATACTTGTAGTCTCCCACTGCTTTACTGGACCGGTAACTAACTTATTCGTCAACTTACGTTATCCAAAGATTTCGTTCATGATTGACCCAACTCAAAACTTCTCAAAAGTCCAGTACTAAAGAATATCAGTTTGAAAATCTACAGCAACATGGACTACATAAATACAGCATAAGCAGATTATAGTAAGGAATTTTTAGGCATGAAGAGACGAACAATCTCAACACCTTACATGGACGTTGATAAAAGTTAATTGTATTTTAGGTATCAACCACATTATGTTCATTATTTTGAAAATTCATAAGGAAATTGTATTCAACCAGTAAAAAGATTGAAAGACAAGTATTGTTAACACATTTGATAATTATCTTCAGATTTAGTAAAAGACTTTTTTCTTCGTTTCAACTGTCCTTTGGCTGGTTTGTCTGTTTGTCTAATTCAATACCTGGAATGGAAGATAAAAAGCTTGTTAATCCTGGAAAATAATTCGGCTTCAAGTAACATTAGTTATTGTAATCACAGACCACAATTTAGCTCAAAACTTTGCACAGCATATCAGCAATTATGAATGCACGTCGTTAGGAAATAACGGGCAAAAGGCCTTGTATCTAGGCTTCAAACTCGAAGTCATCTATTACTGAAAGCTGGAGGTGGCTTAACCCGCGTGATAGTAAGAGGAAATACAAGAAGTTGGGTAAATCATAAATGACCTTTCCATGTGATTAGTTATCCCACATGGATCGGTCATCCGTTGGAAGCTTAAGAACTCGCAAAGGTCGAACAGCCGACTTTATCATCAATGTTTACAATTTGGCCACTTAACCACGAGGAGCAAAAAAATAGGACTGTATGTTGTGCGTTAGATGTGTAGCAGTTTTTCATATCACCTATACAAGTGAATAATTTTGCAAATTTGACCACCAGAATTCGATCAGCTCTAAGTCTATGATAGATACATTATATACCATTCAGTAACAGATATATGCAAGCCTGTTGTTTTCGTAGGTACATGGCATTTAATTATGAGAAAAAATATAAGGAGAAAAAAAACGTCACTTTCAAGAATCTACATAAAAGAACTTTGATCCTTGACTTCTATGTACATTTACGGAAACGAGTAATCTATAAAAGAAGTAGTATATATTCTTAAACAAAATACAAACAAATAGAATTTTGGCGTCTATGAACTTCGTTATGATTTGATATCATGAATACAACCAACGATAGGAAGCAGAAAATATTACCACACGGAATAAACATAATAGCTCATTTACCCAGAACTGAGGTTAGATCTCTAGCTTGTATCGATTACCATAGAAAAATTAAAAATATCCATCCACAGCTAATCTTTATGCAGTAATGCTTGAGTGAAAGTCCTTCCTGATGGACAGAACCACCACTGATATTCTGGTCAATATCTTCAGTGACACCTATAGTTCGTGACTAGAATATCAGTGAAAGTTTCCTACAATCCGATTATTAACCCTATCATCAGAATTCGCTGCATTTTCTAAAACTATACCAGCCTCAAGTGAGCAATTAAAATCCTTGCATTCAGAAAAGATTTTAGTTATATATCTTGTACACCAAATAAATTTACGATTTATTAAGTTTCTTATTATTGTTATTATCACTAACATTATTATTCACGTTTACAACCGCTTTCTTCTGAAAATGTCATGCATAGGAATACCGTTTCAACATATCACAGACTAAGAATTCTCCACTGTAAGCTAGAATATTACTTGCGACATAGTTATTGCTGTTAAGTAGTACTTAAAACCTGCAGGTAAAAAAGTCTTAAACAGCTGTTTTATTCACGATAACCTAATATTTATGAGAAGGAATATCATTCAGTAATCAAACGTTAGATAATAAAAAACAGCTGGATTATTTCAACCATTAAAATAACCATACATAATACTTAATTAAGTGTACGTTAAAAGTTAGTAGATTACTCGAAGTCAGAAGCAAACTGATTGGTCCGCTAAGCATAAACTCAAGGTCATTTCGTTGACCAGTTATGTTCTAGAGATTCCCACTAGTTTTGTCATGTAAATAAATTCAACAAGAGAAATATGATTTAATAACTCCTATGACTTTCATCGCTTCTTGTTTTCTCACTATTGTTCTAATTTTCATCGTCTAACTGGATTGTGCCTCATTCAGTTTATAACAATATTATCCATAAAGTCCTTATCCAAAAACAAATACTTGCATATATTAGGTTGACCATGGGAAGTAGTATATCATCAATGACACCAAAAGTTGTCTACTTCTTAATAAATGGAAATATTGAAAGGGTAAATTTCGATGGAAACAATAGTGAAGTTATTCGTCATTTATCAATCTCTTAGATACTAATCACATTGTCTTGCTCCAGCTGTGAAATTCACGATTTATTATGCATCCTTTCAAATGTTCCCAAGTAAACCGAGCTGAAATATAAACAAAGAGTAATATTATTGATGCACTTTTTACTTTCAGGTCGTCCAATGTTCTTTTAACTGATGTGAATGGGTTGAATGTGCCTTGTTCAGGTTCCATACCAGCAAATACGTACAAGTAAGCTGCTTTTTATCATAAGAAAAGTTTACATTAAAAGTTTATCCTACGATTTTGATCGTGTTCTAATGCTAGGAAAGAAAGTGAAACCTATAGTATCACATTTAGAGATGCTTGTATGAAAAAATATGTTCTCATGTTGATGCTGAATGGCCTTCTTAATCAAGCTCATTAGCGAGTAATGCAGCGCATACAATAACGGATTTCATTGTGATATATGAACGACGAGTCGATTTTATGTCTCACTACTATTATGGCAGTTTCTTAGTTTATATCTACTAATACAGTATTGAACAACAGAAAAGTATATCTTATGGTGCCAGCGTTTTATGGGACATAGCATCAAGTATAGTAAAGCTTACCATAGTTTTCCATTGCTTACCCCTATAAGTGAGTGCTGTTTCGTAAATAATTTGATATAAATCTTTAAACCCAAGAATAAAAGTTATCCGGGGACAGACCTTCAACGACCGTATTGGATGGAGGTTGTGTTACATCGTGAAATGACAGAATTAGGAAGGCATGAACCACTGGTTTCTGACCGAGTGACCCAACAGCAATGTGCTGGCTGCGTAACTTAAAGGTCTCACGGTTGATCTCTGATGAGGCCATGGATGAGCACTACTGAAAGGTCCCATGCTAGGAAGAAACAGCCGTTCAGGTTTTCAACAGTTCTACACCTGATTTCAGACCGTAATGTTTATCAACTTGAAATAAGTAGAATCCTCACAAACCAAATTAAATATCGGAAATCTGGTCGAAAGAATAGATGTCATTGTAAGGCTAGACCCACTGCTCTCCTAAAAAATCATTCAGATAACATTTTCACTCATTAATCTAGATCAGTTAATTACTTCTAGACCATTTTTTATAATAAAATAATATTATACCTAAGTTTGCTTACATTTAGGCAGTCTATGGAACGTTCTGGCTGTAAATACTGTCCAAGTGAGATTGTTATTATCATTATTATGTATCCCTTGGGTTCCTAATGGAACATAGGGCTCCATTCCACTCTCTTCTCTGCAAACTTCTGAACCTGGCTCCACGACACCCCACAACCTCTCATTTCTTCCTCACACAATCTCCTCCATGTCACCCTCACCTCGGAAGCCCAACTCGTCGCTTCCCATCTGGGTTCCACTCGAGTGCCTAGCCTGACACGTGATGTTCCCAGCCGGCCTTCTCAACGCATGCCCAATCCATCTCCACTCCCTTCCACTGCATATTTGTTGAGCGGTTGCTTCTTGGTTGGTTCGTTCCCAGAGTTCCTTGTTGCTTATTCCTTCTGGCAATCCATCTGATTATCAGTAACCAGCCATTGTAGGCAGTTGTTGATGAATCCCTGTAGTTTGTTGGAAATGCCTTTCGTAACGCGCCAAGTCTCTCATCCACAGCACAGAAGCACTGACTTGAGGCTGGTGTTGAAAATTCGCATCTTGTTCCACATACTGAATGCAGAAGATCTGCACACTGGTTTCAGGCTAATGAACGCCTGTCTTGCTTTTCCGATTCTGGCTTTGACATCGTCGTCTGTGCCACCTGTAGTTGAGACAGTGCTGCCTATGTGGTGGGTGAAAGAGTGTTCTTCCTTCAAGTTTCTCTCGTTGATGGTGAATGGAGCTCTGTTGTTGTTATTTGTCTTGTTGGTTGGGTATCTTCATCACCTCCACCTCTGTCTTCTCTATATTCACTTGAAGTGAGATACGGTAATATTATTTTTTCAATCTGTTACATGAGACTCTTTTAAGTATGACTGATAAAATTATCCAGTTTCGTAAAACTGTATACGAAGTTGAAAGAATTGGCAGTAAAAAGCAATGTCTCATCAGGTGATCTTTGTGAGGTGCCTACAATTCTATCACATTAAAATCTAACCTGTGATCAGAGATATGGAAATAAGTCATCCTCTTCTAAAATGAAATAAGGTTGTTATTTATCTATTCCCTTCAATTAAATAAAGTAAATGTTACAGTTAGAGGTGAAATTAACTATCAACAGTGAACACTGAAAAATTCTTAAATCCAGTTTACTACTCATCAGGTAAAAACAAAGAAGGAAATATATCTTAAAAATACTGTATAACTAAATTAACAACGTTATAAATTGCTGGTCAAATATGATATGAAAAATGTGGAAGGCTTAGATGTTTCATCAATATATGTCACCTTAGACTTTTCCCATTCATTTAAAAAGAGATCTCCATCAAAAATTATATTCATGGAAATATGGCCAATAAATTTATAGAGGTTATCTGTTTGCTTTAGAAGTTGAACAGATTGGTTGATACCTCTCCTAAATCCTGCAAAGATTTTGTTTCTTGTATATTAAAACATTGGAATCAATAAGTTCATTAAAGCTTCTTTGTCATCTTTGTCCTTCACAAGAAGCATATGATAGGATGCCTTTTTGAAGATTTTGAAAATAGCGTGTGCCCTTCAATGGCTATACGACACACTGTTTGTCAAAATAAGCTAGAATAGTGTGATCTGTCGTGCAAGGAGAACTTCAATCTTCCAATAAAATCACATTTATTGTAGAATTCTGATGTGAAATAACTTCTTTCTTTCAACAGTTACTTACTGATATTATGTAAAAACTTTTTATGTGCAATGAATTTCATAAAGTCCGTTATAAGAAGGATTACTGAAGCATAAAAAAATTCGACTTTAACTTTTAAAGCGCAATAAACAGCGTTTTAAACAAAATCACAAGGCGCTAGATTCAAGTGAACACCGAAGGTGGGATCACTATTATCCACAAAACGTCTTACTAGTATCTGTTACACATATGTAGGATCATTAAAATATCAAAAATTAAAAAAACGTGAACTTATTTCGCAGTCAAGTTCCATAAATCGGCCAGTGGAGCACCAGATTGGTAGCTTGGTAGACACTGGACAGAATCTCTCTACTTTTAAGATATTTCAGGTTTGATCATCATCCTCTTATTATGTGAAAAGTTAAGATAGTAAAACTACAATTTAACAGTGTGCATTCAACAAAAGATAATAAACACTGTATGACGTCATTCATACTACATAAAACAAAAGCATTTTATTGAATAACATACTGTGTTCATGCTTCATTTTCAATAATGAAAAGACAAAATGACTTTTCAGGTTTTTATTCATCGTGAACGGATATCAGTTAGAGAAACTTTGAAAACCTGGGAGCCCTGTCCAGTTTTTTTAGCTTAGTATGGAACTCCCTAGCAGTATGTGCATATGACCACACCAGTGGTCTAACCCAAAACCTCCAGGTCCCACGGCCATCACGTTATCATTGAGCCCCTGGGTTGGAATCCAGTGGTCCACATAACGCTACCATTACCCAATGTCACCGTCGTTTGCCACACCGATCACGACTTCCAATTGGAACTTCAGGAACCACCATTCGAAGCCAATCACCAATCATCACAAGATTAATTCAACTGGGAGGTTTGTGGGGATTTATTTATTTCAGGTTGGTATTCACCTGAAAGTCCTTGGTTCGACTCCTGGTAGGACCATGGGTGTGCACTGCATATGAATCTTATGTTAGTGCGAAACAGCTGTCCAGTACTTCCAGGTTTCTAATGTTTCTCCAACTGATGTGAGTTCATGATGAGTACCAACCCAAAATCAATTAAACCCCCACAAAACCCCAAAATGAAAATAATTTTTACGACCGAAAAGTGACACTAGGAATTTTATTTATATACAATTTGACATGGTCTATATTAATGGCCAAGGTGAAAGTCATATGAAAGGCATTCGATAGGTTAATTTTCACCCGTTGGTCTCAACTGAATTTAATTGTGATATTAAAATCTGAACACTATGGTAGAGCGTAAATCTATATTAGAGTTTTTATTCCGTTCAATATACACTGATACAATTCAATTTCCAAGGTAACGTCTCGAGAACAATTTGCTGCTCATAAAGATATCACGGTAAACACTCAACTTTGAAGCTTCTTTATGTATCTTAACAGATAATCACTTTTATAATTTAGGTAATCATAACATTCTCCAGATTCAGCAGGAATGATTGGTAGGTTATTTGACTTACTAGTGAAATTCGTAGCTACATATAAGCAGAGACTAATTACTGTATTTTTTCACTGAATCAACACCGAGGAAATTAAATAAGAATAATTCTTTACACACTGGTGACATTCTGAATACTCGATTACCATGAAGAATAAAAGAACAGGGAGTTATTGAACTATAAACAGGAGTTTGAAGGTTGTATGATTGCTGTGGCATGATTGTAAGCATTAAATTCTTCCGAAAACTTCATCTTGGAAATATCACTACATTGTTGTGTTGCATAAAAAGAACTTGTCTAGTATGAACTGAATTTCCTAAAATTGCATTAGTGATCTTTATAGGATGGTTGCTCATGATACCCCACCCCCCGTGTAATCAGTGATAGTTACTTCACAATCTACGGTTTCATTGCCTTGGACTTCCTTTGTATTAAATGCGTAGTGAAAAAACAAACTGATGTCAGGAAAGAGTTGATCTAAGATAAACATACACATGCAGGATCGGTAAACGAAAAGATTTATTCTGAAGCTTGCTTAAAAGCAACAAACTGTATACATAATTCTGTTCGGAGGGCATTAAAGTCATCCGATTTAAAATGTGGGATGTCTTATCACCTTTTGAAATAAATGCATGCAACACGTCGTCTTTCGAAACAGGCATACTGTTCTCTAAGTGAAGTCTGAGCTCAAAGATTTTATCTGTATATGACCCAAGTTTTTTAAATAGAAAAATCTCTTATTTCAAAATACTGGGTTGGTAAGACAAATATAACCTATAGTGATTTCAAGTTTCACATTTTTTCGGATACCTTTGCTTATCTTATACCATTATGTGAGTGGGTAACAAAAGTTTGTAAAATACGTTCAGTTACTTTGTCATAAAAGTTTATGGCATAAACATATTTCCAGTACTGAATATCTTTAAGAAGGGATCAAACTGATTTGCGTGTGCAAAAACAGGACTCTCTAGACATCCTAAATTTGAGGTAGATTGTAATACTGATTTTATGCAATCCAGTTAGCCATTCCTTGGCGCTTTCATCCATGAAAAACTCAATGAGCTATACTGATGATCAAGTAACTCTACAACTTCTTGTAGAATTGGGAAGGAATTTTAAAACCACATACAGTTCTTAATCATTGTTTTGGTGGGCAATAACCTAGTTATCTAATTATAAGGAAGTCTGGGAGTTAACTTACATGATTATGTACTTGGATGTTATAAAACAAACATAGAAGGATGCTGACAAAATTTGCCAAACTACTCATTTCCATTTCGCGACTTCGTGGAAATCGCTTTTCAGAGATATTGACAGCTCATAACATACTGGAGTTACTGATGATGATGTCGTCTAGAAAGAAGAAGAGAGCTCCAAGATTAAACAACCCAGCTCAGGATACACAATGCAACCAAGATAACTGATAGATTATTTGATTTACTAGTCAAGCTCCCAGCCAAGTAAAGGCAGAGATATTTATTGAATCAGCGCCAAGGAAATGTTTCTAGCTTCAGCAGCCATACTTCAGCAGATGATTTTATAACTAAAAAATATTCCTGCGTTATTTTCAGATTCTCAGTTTGTCAGTAATAAGCTCTTCTTGACTAAAGTTTCGCACTTGTTAGTACTCATCATCAAGAACTACTTGCAACTATTACAAAACTGATGTTTACTGCTTGATTGAAATATGCGTCATTCGCTACTGAATTAGGAGACCTAAATATTAAGTTATTGAAGCTTAAATACAGTACATCACAGTGTTACGTCACTTAGGTTAATGGGTGTTTTGCGGAAATATGATCGATGGACCTGGTCAAGACTAAACACTAAGGCGTAAACAGCTTCACTAGTGACTGAGTCTCATATTCCCATACTGTTTTAACCAAGTCAATCTATGTATATTTTGATCGACGGCTCAGTATAAAAGTTTATACACATTTAGAATTAAATCTCTTGAAAAGAGCCCAAAATACTCAAAGTATTCTTAATTATTCAGTCATCTTGTCACGGAAATGAAATTTAAACTTTCGTATAATGAGTAATGTATTTCATAATAAGATTTCAACTAAATCCATGAGTCTGAAAAATTTCTTTTTTCTTTTCTAAATGCTTTCAGCACACCGTATAGCGTGGCAATTGCATACAGTTCAGAACCAAATGAAATGAGCCTTATTGCTCGTATGTTCGAATCGCTCACTGTACAACTAAATGAGTAATTATAATATTCATTTTATTTCTATTCAAATTAAATATACCACGTCACATACTGCATGTAATAAGTTTTGTGGTTGACGTTCTGCTGGTTGACTGGAAAGTATATTCAGAGTAATTTTGTGCACAGGTATTACGAACCACTTGATCATACAGAAACATATGAAACTATTAGCTTGAAAATTTATAAAAGTTGTTTGTAGAGAAGCAAATAATCGAAACATGACGTTTTTATTGACACCTATCTATTAGAATATCAGTCGGTAGGGAAGAGTGTCAGGTCTAGTAGAAAAGCAGTAAAACAAAGTATTTTTTTTTAATGATATTGATCTGAAAGGTGGACAAAGTAGTGTGTAACCATAAATTGGAAGTAACATTGACAAACGAGGAGTATATGTTTAATTTAGTGAAATGTTTAAATGTCTCTTCAGAAAAAAGCATAAAGCACACTACTATTAGAATATAATATTTTAGTCCTTAAAAAAATGATATTCCTTAGCAGCAAATTCAACATCATACTCATCCAGGATCAAAATATTCGCCAGGACAAAACTCCAACACAATCTTAGGAAACTCAGCAACAATTACATCATATTCTAAAGCATTTATCAGTTTACATGTTTGTGTGAACTGATAGACACAGATGAGTAATAGTGATAAATAGTTGATGATAATTGAAAATATTCCTGAGCAACTAGAAAAGTACATGAACTTTAATAATACCATAAATGGAACCAATGAACAGGCATCATCATGTATAGCCAAAAATTAACTGAGAGGTGAAATAGATTATTTCAATTATTATATTGAATTGGTTCACGTTACCAAAAATAAAACATTAGTAAGGGAGAAAGCATAAAACTGGTCAAAAAAGGTTGAAATAACTAGAAAGAAAGAAGTTTACTGTAAGATGACAGTACTGAAATCAAAGTGAAATCATGGAGCGCTTGGGCTGTATCATGTAATCTCACCCTCTTCTGATTCTCTCGACAAATGCCTCTAATTACTAATTAGACGCATGTGCGAAGTATTCTGTTTGGTGAATGTACATACTGAAAATATCCCTGAAAGTATTTGTTAAATATTTTGTCCAAAATAGACAGTAGATAATAGTTTAACCTGGGGGTAAAACAAAAAATTTTCAAACAGCTGAACTTCTAGCACTATTCAATAATTAAACTAGTTTAAAGTGACTGAAAGTTCCCTGTTGTAATCTAGTTCATGTCTAGCATCCTTAGATTACTTTCGGGTGCTTCTTTTCAACGGACATCACAACGTTGAACGGCTGACAGAACTAAGAGATAATTTCAGTGAAAAATGTTCTAAACTAACTGTTAAGCACCAGAAATAAACTGGATCTAGCGTGGGTTACATTCCCCATATATTTGCACCCAATATAAGTTACCTGTCATTTTAAATATGAGTCAGTTATTATGACTAGTTATTTTTGAGGAAACTAAAGTTGTGAACTAAATTTTCAAATACATTTTAAGATCATCGTTTTCTATTGCATTTAGAAAAAACATATTTCCCCCCCAATATCTTTCAACAGTACTCATCCGTACACAAATTATCTTCATCGTAATTGAGGTGCTGAATTTTGTTATTTTTTCATTCCATCTTGTTGTCTATTCATGAATCTTTATCGCCCCGGCTTTCTTCCTTATCCCTCTCTCTACCTTTCACTTGTGTGCCTACTTCCATGATTCGCTTATTTCAAATGAGATAACTCGGACAGTTACGCTACAAAGTTAGGCCTCATGTTGATGCTAACTGAATGGCTAACTTAGGTAGCACATAATCTTCAGAAACTATCACTCAATAAATCTATTAGGGTGGACTCAAAAATGCCTAAGATACAGTTTAAGTACTTGCAAATTGAATCTAGTTGGGGTAAAGCATTGTAACTGGACTTGGATTTTCCCGGAACTGAATGCTTTAATGGCCATTTTATTTAATTAACAGGAAGACCTCCACTTTAATAGGGAAAGAGAGACATCATAAATTACCGTACACTAAAATGGCTGCTTGAAGTCTACAAGTATCAAGTAAAAAGGTTACCAGAGGTCAACTAAACTTTCTATTTCCTTACAAAAACTTCACCATACAGAAGTTGTACAATATCTATTTTCGTCATGTTTAAGGATGTTCTAGGCAGGATAAGTGAACAGACACATTTATAATGGACTAATTTCATCATTCCCGATTTTATATCGAGCAAATACATTTTTAATCTAGTCTTAACTCATCTACTGTAAAATTACAGAATTGGTTAATGAACCTTTTGCAAACTAAGAAAACAAAGCTAATTATTTAGTCTCAGAGGGATCTCTAATTTGACAAACCTTCTGCGTGCTACTCTTATTCCAGCTTCAATATAAATTCTAAGCAATATTTCCAATGCTTTTTTCCCATTTGGCGAAGATAGAGAGGCTTGACATGCTCTGTTATGCTTTAATCTCCAATACTACTTCTGCTTTTCATACTAGTGGAAGATCTACAGGCGAAAACTAACAAGTTGACAGAAGAAGACACCCAACCAACAACAAGAACCAAACACCGTAAACGGGAGGAACATAAAGGAAGCTGTGTTTCACCTGTCTAGACAATATCGTTTCAACTTAAGGCAGCTGTGGCACAGAAGAGGATAGGAAAAGCAAGACAGGCTTTCATTAATCTGAAATCAGTGTAGAGATCTACTGCACTCGGCATAAAGCATCAACAAGATCCGGATTTTCGACACCAATATCAAGTCACTGCTGCTATATGGTTCAGAGACTTGCACGTCATGAAAAGCATTTCCAGCGGACTACAGACATTCATCAACAGCTGCCTATGCTGACTCGATACTGAAGATCGGATGGCCGGAAAAAATAAGCAACAAGGAACTCTGATCTCGTAAAAAACCAACCAAGAACCTATCACCCAACAAATATGCAGAAGAAGAAAATGGAGATAGATGGATTGGGTATAGCTTGAGATGACGGTTTGGGGACATCACGCGCCAGGTCAGGCAGTCGAGTGGGATCCAAGTGGCAAAGGATGAGTTGGATATGTGAGCCGAGGGTTATATGGGGGAGATCATGTGAAGAAGAAATGAAAGCTTGTGGGCAGTCGTGGTGCCTGGTCCAAAAGACTGCGGAGAAGAGTTTGGAATGTAGGCGTGCTACTGAAGCCCTATTTTTCACTAGGAATCCAAGAAAAAATAATAATGATAAATAATTTTCATACTAATCCTCATGAACGTTTGAAGATAGTTATCCATTCAATAATAATATTTTTTATAGTTGTTTTATTTATTGTTATATTTGGATTTTCAAGCATTTGGTCAAGCCTGTCCCTACTAACAAGGTTGTGATCATATAAAGTGTAAATATCGATTAGAAGTCAATGGTTTTCTCCCAACACTAGCGTCTAAACTACTGTTATACCTTCTTTGAGTTTTGCATTTTATCATTGGTAATTCTTCTTGGAAATTACCTAACCCGATAAACGATATATATATATATATATATATATATGCATATGTGTTAAGTAATTATGAATATTCTTTTATTTTCACACAGTGAATGTGCTATTCACACATTTCTATCACATTACTGGAGTAGGATTGGACGATTTAACAGTGAAAAGCTTCCAAGTATTACTACCAGTAGAAGTATTGATGGTCCTCATTACTACTCATGTTTATACATATTTTTTCATCAAATTTAAATACACAGCGCTAGCATTTAATTGTAAACCTAGCATAATAGCTTTAATCGGCACTTTATTCCATTTAAGAAGTAGTTTAGGATCAGTATTTAGTTCAAACAACCTCGCCTGGTTAACTAGTTTACTAGTTACTAGCCGGTCCTAAGCCCGGGTAAAGAGGGAAGGTTGGGCATAGGGCTAGCAACCCTACCCCGTAAAACAAATCTAACCGCTAAACAAACTTCAAAGCACAAACAAAATATAAAAAATGAAAACAAACTTATTCCCCGCTGGAATCGGAGAGGCGAAATGACGCCAGTTGGTGAAAGCCTTCGGGAAGCCAATTGGCCGATGTGTCTTCTCTCGATGAAAGCGAAAGTAAACGTGGGGACATGGAATGTCCGCACGATGTTTGAACCCAGTAAGGCAGCCCAGATTGCAAGGGAGATGAGAAGGTATAACATCGAAGTGCTTGGGATTTGCGAAAGCAGATGGAATGGGAGTGGACTCTCCAAACTGTCAACTGGAGAATCAATAATCTACTCCGGTCACCCAGACGCCAACCACGAGCACACTGAGGGAGTGGCTATCATGATGTCCTCAAGAGCATCGAAGGCTCTCATGCAGTGGGAACCAATCTCCTCCAGGATCATGACAGCAAGATTCAACTCAAAAGGAAGAAAGGTCACAATCATACAATGTTATGCACCTACAAATAATGCAGAGCAAGAGAAAAAGGAGGATTTCTACAGACAACTTCAATCAACACTGGACAAGACGTCAGTTGGCGATATCAAAATTCTGATGGGCGACATGAATGCCAAACTGGGAGGGGACAACACGGGAAGAGAACTAACCATGGGTCGAGAGGCACTAGGTGAAATGAATGAGAATGGAGAATTGTTTGCAGAATTCTGCGCATTCAACGATTTGGTGATTGGAGGCAGTGTGTTCAGGCACAAAGATATCCACAAAGCGACATGGATTTCACCAGATGGACACACTAAAAATCAAATCGACTTTATCTCAATCTCAAGAAAATGGAGACGCAGTCTACTTAACACAAGGTCAAGAAGAGGAGCAGATGTAGGTTCAGACCACTATCTAGTGCAAGGAACCTTCCAAATCAAGTTAAAAGCCTTCAAGGAAGCTGGTGATAGACCTCAACCCAAGTACAACACTCGGAAACTGAAGGATGAAACTACAAAGGAGATCTTCAAGGCAGCCATCAAGACAAAATGGGAGACATCGAGCAACATCCCTGAAGAAACCTGTGTGGAAGAACACTGGAAGTCTTTGAAAGCTATGTGGAAAGAAACCTGCACAACAGTATTAGGAAGGAAGAAGAAAGAAGACAAGGAATGGATCTCGACGGATACCTGGAAGCTGATAGAGGAGAGGAGGATGGTGAAGCAGAAGATAAACCAGTGCAAGGATGCTCAACGACAAGAGGAACTGAGCACAATGTATAAAACACTGGACAAAGAAGTGAAGAAGAGTGCACGCAAAGACAAAAGACACTTCTACGAAACACTGGCAAGTGAAGCAGAACAGGCTGCAGGTAAGAGAGACCTGACGACATTGTATCAAATAACCAGGTTGCTATCAGGGAAGAGACCAACACAGATGAAACCAATAAAAGATGAAGAAGGAAATTTAATTACAAAAGAAGAGAAACAGAGGAAACGATGGGCCGACCACTTCAAGAAGCTCTTGAATCGACCACCACCTGCACTTCGTCCAGAAATACCACCTGCAGCCGCTGAACTACAAGTGAACATTAATCCCCCAACGAAAATGGAAGTCCTGAACGCCATAAAGCTACTGAAATGTGGGAAAGCAGCAGGACCAGATGGAATACCGCCAGAAGCACTGAAAACAGATGCAGAGACAACAGCGGACATGCTCACACCACTATTGCAGAAGGTGTGGAAGGAAGAGAAGGTACCTGACGATTGGAAGAAGGGTTACCTTGTCAAACTGCCGAAGAAGGGAGACCTCAGTGCTTGCAAGAACTGGCGCGGAATCACTCTCCTGTCCACCCCAAGTAAAATATTAAGCCGCATCATCCTGGAGAGGCTAAGGGATGCACTGGATTCAAAACTACGACCGGAACAGGCAGGCTTCAGGAAGTACAAATCATGTGCAGACCAAATTGCAACGCTTCGTATCATCATAGAACAGAGCATAGAATGGCAATCACCTCTCCACCTCAACTTCATCGACTTTGAGAAGGCCTTTGACAGCGTCGACCGAGAAGTAATTTGGAAACTGCTTCAATACTACGGAGTACCGCAAACCTTTATCCGCCTCATTCAACAACTATATGAAGATGCCACATGCCAAGTAATCCACAATGGGAAGCTCAGTGATGCCTTTGAAGTGAAGACAGGAGTGAAACAAGGTTGCCTACTATCCCCCATGATATTCTTGATTGTGGTGGACTGGATCATGCAGCAAACAGTAGGCAGCGAGAAGAGGGGGATACACTGGACGACGGAAAAGAACCTAGAAGACTTGGATTTCGCCGATGACTTATGCCTAATGTCACATAAACTTGAAGATCTGCAGGCAAAAACTAACAAGTTGATAGAAGAGGCAGCGAAGACGGGACTTCAGGTGAATATAGAGAAGACAGAAGTGATGAAGATACCGCACCACCACCATCAACAACAACAACAACAAACTCCAATCACTGTCAACGGGAGAAACTTAAAGGAAGTAACCTCCTTCACTTATCTAGGAAGCACTGTTTCAACTACAGGCGGGACGGACGAGGACGTCAAAGTCAGAATCGGAAAAGCAAGACAGGTGTTCATTAGCCTGAAACCAGTGTGGAGATCTTCTGCACTCAGCATGCGGAACAAGATACGGATTTTCAACACCAACGTCAAGTCAGTGCTCTTGTATGGCTCAGAGACTTGGCGCGTCACGAAAGGTATTTCCAATAAACTACAGACATTCATCAACAACTGCTTACGCTCGCTGCTGAAGATCAGATGGCCAGAAAAAATAAGCAACAAGGAACTCTGGGAACGAACCAACCAAGAACCTATCACGCAACAAATATGCAGGAAGAAGTGGAGATGGATTGGCCATGCACTGAGAAGGCCGACGGAGGACATCACGCGTCAGGCCCTCGAGTGGAATCCCCATGGGAAGCGACGAGTTGGACGTCCAAGGGTGACATGGAGGAGGTCGTGCGAGCAGGAAATGAGAGCTTCTGGGCTGTCGTGGGACCAGGTTCAAAAGATCTCAGAGAACAGAGGTCACTGGAGGCGTGCTACTGAAGCCCTATGTTCCACTAGGAACCCAAGGGACTAATAATAATAATAATAATTTAGTTCAAACACAACTGTTTGTAGAACTATATCATATAGTCAGCAGACTTACTGCAACGTAGGTAATGTTTCTCAGCCATTTCTTCTTGAATATTATTTAGCCTTTTGCTTCGTGTTATGTATTTGGCTAATCTGAAATGTGAGCGGTGATTAACATGGCATAATATCGATACCTAATATTTAAACCCTTCACAAATCGGGGTTGTTCATATCGTCATAATTTTGAATCTTACCAATCTCATAGTATAAATGACTATTAAATTGAGGTGTATCACATGGAAAATTTTTTTGTTAGTAAATTTGACTATTAATCAGGTGATGTGATTTATGAGCACCAAATTACTTTGATCAGATCAACTTTTAAATATTGAAGTGTTCTTATAGAGAATTATTTCCGTCCACTGCTCACATTTACACTCCCTTTGTATATTTTCTTCTCAGTAATATGAAAATTACTGATATGAAGAATGAATTGACAGATCGAATGCAATTACTGGAGAGACGGATGATCGGTAAGTCTAATGGTGTTATTTTAAAATCTCTTATTCAGAATTTCATCACTATATGGAAGTTTTCACTTATTTAAGCCCTGCAATTGATCTATTCGTTAGTTTACGAGTTGGTGTTTAGCGGGATAAGATCATCGTCACTTTACTGTTCAATGGTGTAAAGTTTCTTAAATGAGCAGAGGATTGTTTCAAGAAAGTGGAATTCGCTCATCGGCTAAGTTTATAAACTCTTTTCGCAGGAAAGCCGATTAATAAGCTAAATGCTTAAGAAATGTATTTTTATTTGATGTGCTTAGTGGTGCAGATCCTCCAGTTATTCACTAGTTTTGTAAGAGTTTCTGATACTCTACAATGATTTTGGTCAGTCGCCGAAACACAGGTCAACAGGTTCCCGATAAAAACATCCAGTCATCTTTAATGGCAAATATTTGGTCTTTTCACCTCTGGTGATTGTTTCACTGAAGTTGGATTACTTAGTGGTTTAAAGCAACCGGTTCCTTTGATAAATTTAAACAGCGTGATGAGAAGATAAAGATTATCTGAAACATGTGATATGTAGCGCTAATACATCACATGTTTCAGATAATCTTCGTCTTCTTATTAAGCTGTTTAAATTTACGAAGTAGTTGTTTGTGGTTCTTTTATTCTAGGTTGAATGATCCTTTTTTTATGCAAAAATCAGCGTATTTAGTACCTTATCAATTAAGTGAAATATGAGACGGTGGATGCAAAAATTTTCCCAGTTTTGAGATTTCTGAAACACAAAGAGTGTTTATCCCATAATAAATTAAATCTGCTTCCATATTTATTTATTTATTTATCACTCACATAAATTAAAACATCCGTCTTTCAACAAAAAGAAAATTGTACTTAACTTTCACAGAATAATGGTGTTTCAGCAACTGAAGAGACTCCTTGGTCATTTTGTGCACGTAATCTACATTTGAATAGTTCTTAGAACTTTGCATGTCACTGAAAACTTTGAAATGACCATTACAACTACTCTAAATACTGTGTGAGATAAAAGTGATTTAAGCAATCTCAGTCAAAACATTTTGACGCTTCTGTTGATGACAAGTAATCAATAGTGACTGGTGTGGATAGTCGACAGCTATGCATATCAGTCAGAAGCTTACATGGTTCAATTGTAATGTACCACAGTACCAAACCTGTACTTTCTGAAGTTTTTGAATTACACATTCATTTAGTTTATATGAAGCGCCAACTGCTTAAAAATAGAAAAACTTATAATGTATTCCCAGCTAAGTAAAAGAAAACCAGAATCTAGTTTTCTGTCTTATGAAACGTGGCATACACAAACTTTTGTGCTCTGCCTGCCTCGAAGTTTCATCAGTTACTTAATATCGCCTTATTAATATGATGTTGATATTTTAGTTTCGCACCAAAAGGACAACATTTTTAAACAATTTTTTAAAATATGATTTGGGAATAAATGGTAGTAAAGTAAGAAAAAGAAGCGTTGTAGGTTAAGCATTTCATAGAGAAAAACCTAATTGTACCCTTATTCAAACCTAGGCTGCCAAAAAAGTCATCGTAGACTAGGTAATTTGAGTATGATTCACATCACATATAGACTATAAGCTGTGATTTTAGTTATCTGGTCAACCTTAACCTGAAAGTCTGAATTTCTCTACTCACTCCAGACCAGTGATAAAAATATGTGAACTGATGTCAAGCTGAAGCTTGACAACCCTTGAACGTTTAATCACCTAAGCTGGAGAACATTAAAGGGAATAAAACGATTTGCTTTACAGTGGTGTTGACTTTATGTATAAAGAGCTGTTCTTTTCCAACAAGTCACGTATGACATGCATAGAGTAACTAAATAAGTGGAGAACTTTGTTTCCTAATGAAACTGCTTGGTTTCTGAGACTACAATTGGCTGTTTCTAACAGTATATCACATTTACATACCACTGCTACAGTGGTTCGATATCGTTTTGGTTGACTTACTGGTTAGATATAAGCTGTATCAATAGAACTACATTTGTACTTTAGGATTGACCTCTACTTTAGCTAAACTTCAACCACCTGTTCGTTTTGGTGGTGGAAAACGTAGTGTTATATAAATAAGAGGAGAAACATGTCTTCTGCATTTGAAAATAGTAATTAACTGTCTCACGTCATCATGCTAACATGCATTCTGTTTAAGGAATTATCGTGCTTATGATAGAAAGCGACTAGTGTACTAGAAGACCTTATGATGGATCTTACTTTCTTAATGGAATAACTGAATAGTGCATTTAAACACCACTAGGACTCAATGAGAAGTCAAGATAAAATTTGTCTGAATGCAGCTTTTTGATTTGAACTATTACCTTCAGATAAAATGAATTATTCAGATAGTCTAGTCAATGCAATCTGATATTTTCAACCTTACAATGAGTTTTAGTTGGTCAAGTGATGGGGTTGAAAGTTTTTGAAAAATGGGTAACCAACTAGGTCTACCGCATTTTTCTACAGTACATTGAACCTACAGCTGTCTGAATATGATGTTAATCAATCATTTTGCTCAACATTATATTCACCTAATTTTTGACACTCTTCCATCAAAGATCTTGATGAGCGTTTTTCAACAGAAACGTTTTTCACAGCACAGTTGATAGAAATATTAGCACAAACAGTAAACATTTGAGTAATTTATAAACTGAAATTTTGGTACATCTCAAGTGAAATCGACAGTAGTGTGTTCATTATCGCAATAAATTAAACCTCACTAATTAGTAAATGGTAAGTCAAGATTTTTTTTTGATTTCTCCTGATTAAAACTACAAGAAACTAATAGGCTGTAGTAGAAAACAATGTTTAAGTTATTACAGACATTTGCAGAAGCATACTAAATACTTTTGACATAATTTCAATTAATCTTAACTGGCTAATGCTATTTTAATTTAGAAATGTCATCTGTCTGATATAGTGTCAAAATAATTTGTAAAATACTGTTCAAACGTATAATCACGTCAAAAAGTTGACATGTTAAACTACAGTCAAAGTAGAATTTATTTCGTAAATTATTTAAGTGCTCCAGGTATAATATGTGATATTCACTTCAGACTTTTTCTCAATGACTAACAAAATAATTCAATCTTTGAATGAAGCAAACCTGAAAAACTCAAATACGGGAAATGAAATGAGGTGCTAATGTGCATGATACCTTTTCCCTAATGTCACTAAAGAAGAAAACAGCATATTGTCCTATGTACCATTCAGTTATTATCATAAAACTAATAACCAGAGTAACACAAGAGTTCTTGTTTGGTTAACTCTCCACTGTACAGGAATTACTGCACTTTTCAGCAGGTTCCATAGCACAGAATAATCTTTGATACAAAACAAAAGATCCATGAAAACTAATGAACATAACTCAGAGCAGAATGAGACCAATGTAACTAACTATTGTGATTACCAGTATGAGTAATGTATTTTGAGATGAATGGGGATTTTAATTTTTGGATATAATGCATCATGGACTGATATCAGCTGGAGAACCACTTGAAACCTGGAAGCATTGGACAAGCGTTTCGTTCTAGCACGGGACTCCTCAATAGTACGTGTCCACAACTCGGCTAGAATTCGAACTCAGGACCTTCATGTTTCACGATGAACTCGTTAAATATCCAGTCACTGGATAGGAATTCAACGGTTCACAGTTTTCAACTACTGTCAATTAGCAAAATAGTGCGACGATCATCCAAGTTCTTCAGTTAGAATTTGCTTCCCTTCCGACTGGTCGACTCCACACGTCACGACTTTTCATCAGATATTAGGGATATCCGTCTGGAAGTATGTAACTAATGAACGTTACGCAGTAATGTATTTTAATGTGAGTATGAGCAAATAAAATATGCATTCATAAGTAACTAGTACGATTTGTGAATAGTTATAAGTTGTAGCTGACTTTAAATTGTTTACACAGATATTTTTTAAAAATAAAATAAACACTACCCAGCTTTATTATTTACTGTCTTGCTAATATTCGAGTTTCCATTGACATCAATATAAATAGATTTTTATGAATACGAAAAACAGGGCAAGTATGAACAACGTATACAATTCTGTTTCTATGACAACCAAAGATTTATTATTGAATCATCGATATCAAGAGAGATATAGGAAAAAAGGTTTGAAGTGAAATGAGAAATTGTAAATATAAATAGAATGAGAGAGAAACTCACTTATGTTAACCCTAATGTATATAGAAACAGTTAACTATATGATTAACTAACGAGTAATTTAAGAAGAAAGTGGGTGAATAACTCTTTAGGTAACTAGACCAATAATTAAACAATGGGACAACTGAATACTCACTTAGAGAAAGACACACGAAAAGATAATAATCTTGTCCCACCCATTTATAAATACTGAAAAAAAGCTGTAATGACGTCAATTTACACTTTGTGAGTACCACTACTAATGATAGTAATAATAATACTAATAATGGAAGTTTAAAAAGCAAGTTTTATATATTCCACATGCGAATAATTTATACTCATTCTTTTCAGATTAACATCTACGTAGGATTTTTCATGTTGTCATCGTTTTAGCCCAATGCTTATAAGTACCTTAAAGTTAATAAAAGTTCTAGTGATACTTTTACTGACCAGAAAATGAACATTACCAAGTTTCAAGCTTTTACCATGACTCCAGTGTATGCTGAATTCTGTCTACTAGGAGATACACAACTTTTATTGTTGGTGGGAATCTGTCAAATTTTTTCATGTACGGAATGCATTTGCAGTTTGCAATGAAGTGGCAATCTCTAATTGACCCTAACCGAGAGTCAGATTCAAATATTAGCCACCACTGTGTCCGTAGTGACTAGCACGATTTGATCAAACACAGTCAAGGATATCTTTTTCTTTTCATGATAAGTTGTATGAAAGTTGAGTTACGTTTGTAAACTTTAACACTTCAAAAATAGTAGTGCTTACTAGAATGAATGATAAAGAGTTGTGGGGGTCAACTCATAGGAAGCCCTTTAAG